CGTTGCGAGCATTTCCTGTGTAAACCCGGAATTTCCCCCGCAGCGGACTTTGACTCTCTCTACCTTTTCCCGTATGGCCAGTGGCGTGCCGTCGACTAAGCGTGCGTCTATCTCTGGTAAGCAACGGCTAAGTGTCAGCTGCAGTTTTCGTGCGGTTGCGGTATTAACTAAACTGTGGCTTGCTCCTCCGTCGATAAAAATCTTCACTGCTGCTCCCTGTATTTTCCCGTGGATCAGTACTAGGCAATCCGTCGCTGTACCCTCCTTATTCGTCCGAGTCCGATCGATAGCATGAATCGGTACTGTGACTCGGTGAGGGTCGGTGGGGTTGGGCGAGCAGGCAGTCTCGTCAGTAGTTGGCCCGATTCCTACTGACTGCTGGCGTTTCCCTGCTTTGGAGACTCCCTCCCCTGCTCTGCTCCGCGGCGCCTTAGCTCCTCTGGGCATTCGCTCTTGCGATGGCCCGGCCTGTTGCAAGCAAAGCAGCGCCCCTTAAACGGCGCGGCAGCTGCATTCGTCGCAACAGCGTGTACAGTGGCGTGCTCGATCGGTCCCCGAGGACGATGTCCATAGTAGGACCCCGGTCTCGGACGGCGTAAAATGTCGATTTTCTCGGCGAGCGCGAGAATCTCGTTGAAGTTCGAGAGCCCGCGTAGCATGATTTCGTGCGAGATGTCCGGCTTCAGCCCTCCGACGTAACGGTCCACCCGCTCCGCTTCGTGCATGTAGCCGACTTGCTCGCATAATGCGAGAAAACCACTCGTATAGTCTTGAACCGATCCAAGCTGCCGCCAAGTGCGCAATCTCTGACGCGCCGAAATAGAAGCCGCGATCGGCTCGAAGCGCGCCCGAAGCCCTGCGCACCACGCATCCCACGTGCTGTATTGGGCGGTCTCGCAGAATGAACTCCAGGTGACAGCTGGGCCCGTGGGCCCTTCCTCTTGCGACGGTGGCTCGTAGGTGCGTGGCGACGTCACGATGACTCGCCACCAGTCCATGGCGGGGCCCCTTAGCAGCGAAACGGCATACCGAATCTTCGCTGCATCCGACTCGACGTAATTCGCGTCGAAGAAGACGTTCATCGTGAAGACCCACGATTGAACCGTCGGACCTCCACGCTGGCTCGGGTCGAAGCAGGGCGGGCGTTGCGGCTTGAGTGGCATTGGTGCCATAATGGTCTGTTCGCCACTTGTCGCCGCGAACTCCACGTGTCGACGGGCTTCGCAAGGCTCCCGCGGGCTTGGTGCGACCCTGTTTCCTCCCATGCCAGGCATCGGCTGGGCGGCGCCATCGCTGGCTGCGTCTGAGCGCTGTCCCACGCTGTTGTTTTGTGTTGGTGTGCCGGACGAGATGACGATCGGCTCGTCTGATTGTGCAGATGCATTTGTCGGTGCGTGTGGTGGCGCTGGAGTGTTCATCGTTGATTGCTGACGCGCGGAGTCACGTTCCGCCGTGAGCGTCGCAATTTCGAGCGCCGAATCTTCAAGTTGGCGCACCAGACGGTCGAGCTGCTCCTGCGTCAATGTGGCGAGCGTGAATTCGGCCATGGCGGGGGTGTCGGGCGAGCTCAGCGAGAGCCTCGGTCGTGGCCGTGCGTGCTTACGAGAGAGCACTACGAGCGGCGGTGCTGTGTCGCTGAGAGACGTCTACCCCCCCCCAAAATTGAGATAGTGGGGAAGCGAAGGTGTGGGTGCGGTCCGAGAGGAGATCGTAGGCTCTGAATACCAGGTGTTACGAGTGCAATTGAGTGAACGAACGAGAATTGCACTATCGAAGCAAGAGTCCAAATGAGCGAAGGCATGAGCGAAGAATATATAGCGAAACTACAGTGGTAACGGTAATGGACTGTGGTTGTCTCGCGACGGGCCTGGGACTGAGGTTGGGAAAAAGTGTCGAAGCGGAGGCCCGGAGCGCGGGTTACCCGCCGAGCCGTGAGGTCGGGGTGCGATGTGCGAAGGTGGCGGGCGGATTGTCGATGCGAGGGTTGCGAGTGGTAACGGTGCTGACTGTGGTGCTACAGTGGTGTACGCGTTGAGCAGGGATGCGAAGTAAGGAAAAGGAATTTTCCTTGCACTACCCCACTACAGCCTACACCCAATTACAAAGCATATATATAGTTTGACAGCTGTTGTCGGCGCGCTGCCCGCGTTTTGTCATTCCATGTCGATGCCACGTCACAGCATCGTGCTTGTGTCTGGCAAGCATTTTTCCTTCTCAGCGCAACGTTCTTACCGGGGCACTCAGTAGCGGTGGTCAAAAATCACTCGTTCGATGCAACCGTCACTTGGCTCGCTCTGCTGCGAGCAGCAGTCTGGGCAAGGGACCACAAACGTCTGCTGCCATCGACCTCCATTCCATACAACTTTGGCTTGCTCGCCTCCCTTCCCCACAGTAGCAAGAGCAGAGAGTGTAGATCAAAGGGTGGTCGCTACCGCCCCACAACTAGCCCACACCCCCGCCACCACTCCGCGTACCAGCAAGAAGCACCCACCACCAACCATCAGCACACACCGCGCAGCAGCAAAGCACTGGCGGGAGCCATGATGTCAGTCGCTGTGCGCGTTTCGCGGAGAGGAGCCGCGGAGGTCCCAAGGCGGCTGCTGCCATCGCATCGCCATGCGACCGCTGCCGTGTCGGCGGCCTTCGAGCTTTTGCCCACAGCTCCTGGCCGCCCGTTCTTCTCGCTCTCCGCCTGTCCCACCCAATCAGCGTCCGCCATTTGTCCGTCAGCCGCGTCGCCTTCAGTCGCCGCGTCCTCCGCCAGCCCCGCCAGCCCCACCAGCCCCGCCAGTTCTGCCAGTTCCGCCAGGCGCGTGCCGTTCTCCCCCGTTCCCCGCGTGGCCGCGATTGTTAGGGTTGGTTCGCCCAACCACGGAACCTACGGTGAAATGCGGAATGGCGGCGGAATGGAGCTCGTGGGAGATTCTAGAGTGATTTCGGTAGAAATCGGCCTACGGTGGACGTTGGAAGCTAAGGCGTGAAAAGCGGGAGAGAAATCGGGAAGAAACTGGAGAAATGAAGGAAGAAGAGTGGAGAAGAATCGAGAATGAGTTCGACGGGGGAAAATGTGGTTCGAGACCAAGGCGTGTTCGAGAAATTTCCAGATTCGGGCTCAAGGAGTGTTCGGTGAATTCGGTTCGGTTGCGTGTGCGACTCGGGGTGAAACGAGGCGCACGCGGTTACTTGGGAAACAAGTGAAGTTACGAATCGCATTTTGTGACTTGCTTGACTATAAAACTGCTTGTACTCATTCTGGAAAACACAACTTGGAGATTCTGAAAATTGCTGAAGTGTGTATTGACAACTTCAAGCAGAGCTGCGCAAATCATTGGATTCGTGAGATCGTGGAGAACACGATAAGCAATAGCAAGTAGACTATTGCCGACTAAGGTGTTTACGATCCTAAGAACTGGTATCAGAGCTTGGCGAACGGGCGCGTCGATCGCGGTGAATTCACTTGGTGCGCTAAGTGAAATTAGTGGAGAAGAGGAGTCGTTCACGCCTACGCCATGGGAGACGAGGCGAGTTCGGGTTCCAGTGTGAGTCTTGGAGACCCGCAGTTGAAGGCTCTTCTCGAGGCCCTTGCGAGTGGCCGATTGGTGGCGAAACCGACGATCGGGCTCAGTGAAGCCCAGCGCTTCAACGGAAGCAACTACAACGTGTGGCGGAAGAAGTTTATTCGGAGGGCAGAGGAGGTTGACCTCTTGCCGTACTACCGTCCCGACGAGGAGACGATGGAGGGAGTTGCGCCATCCCCGACGGATACGAAGGAGAAAATAGCGGCGTTCAAAAAACAAAGTAAGCAAGCGTTCTTTCAGCTTTGTCACTCAGTTGCCGATGGAATCGCGGTGGATTTGGACCAGTTTGCAGGGGAGCTGAACTCTGCACAGAAAGCGTGGGAGTACCTGGAGTCCACGTACATGGACACGAACGATGTCAACAAGAAGGCAATTAGGAAGCAACTGCTGTTGCTGAGCATGGAGAAAGGCGAGAAAATCATCACCTACATCAACAGGGCGAAAAACTACAACGACGACTTGCGGGTGATGGGAGCCGCGGAGACGGAGCACGAGATGATTGACTATATCATCCAAGGCCTTCCTAAGGAGTGGGAATCCGACATCGGTATGTTTACGTACCAACCGCCGGAGAGTTTGACGAAGCTGCAGGAGATTCTGCAATCGCTTGAGACGGTGAAGGAGATGAGGAAAAAGAAAGCGGCAGCAGCAGCTACGGATTTCGACGAGGAGAGGCCGGCTTTGGTGAATGCAACGAAGGCGTTTGGAGCGTGCTACCAGTGTGGAAAGAGGGGGCATAAGGCGATAAACTGCTACGAAAATCCGCGAAACAGAAACTACAAGGGCAAAGTGGTGGAGAACGAGAAAGGAGAAAATGGGGGAGCAGAGTGGCAACAGAAACGAGGTTTTGGCGGCAAGTGCGATTATTGTGGGCGCTATGGGCATCGTGCCGCAGAGTGCTACTCCAATCCGAACAGCAGGAGCTACAAGGGTCCGTCGCAGCAGAGGATTGTGGCGGGTAAGGCGAATGTAGCGGAAGCCGAAAAGAAGGATGTGATTTTGGGAGGAGCGCATCGTGCGAACGTGGTGCGTTTACCGAAGGATGTTCGTCAGACGGACGGACGTGAGAAGACGGCATGGTTCATGGACAGCGGATGCACGCGTCACATGACATTCAGGTCAGATTGGATGGAGAACGTGAGGGATTCGAGTGAGCGTTATATACTGCAAGGTAACAGTGGGAAGTTACCAGTGACAGGAGAGGGTGACGTGGTGCTGCAAAGTCCGTATGGAGAGGTGAAACTGGAGAATGTGCTCTTGGTTGAGGATTTGAAGGTGAATTTGATGAGTCAGTCACAGCTTGATGACTTGGGGTGCAAGATATTTTATGACAAAGGCGAGGTTACAGTGTTTGGTCCTGAGTGGGAGAAGTATGCCGATGGATACTTCAGTGACGGGTTCTATGAGATGAACTTGATAGCGATGAAGGACAAGGATGAGATCTATGAGGATCCTGAGTCTACTGAGGTTGATGAGAGCGAGGACACGGATGATACGGGAGCGAGTGTGGAGGCAGCAATAAAGCAGGAAGAAGAGATAGTCACCATGGAGGCAGCAGCGGTGAATGATGGAGATGGAGATGGTGTCAACACTTTTACGATCCTAAGAGCGATTGGCGGCGACGTGGACGTGCGCGGCGCGGCGTTTCGACTGCGAGAGAAGGTGATGGAGCGATTGCTGGGCGAGCTGCGACAGGCGACGGACACGGTACGTCGCACAGCAGTCAGGCGACACGCACTGTACGTCGCACACACATAGCTGCGAGGGCAGGGGAGGGTGAGCGTGGCGAGGGCGGGCAATTGGGCGGAGGTGGGAAGATGCAAGCGGGTGGTGGTGGTGGAGTGAGGCGGACTGCGAGATAGTGCCTGTGTGCCGCCCTCCCTCACTCTCACGCCACGCCCCTGCACCCTGCGTGCTGCCCCACCCGGGCGCCCAGCAGGTGCTGCAAGGAGGGGGTCCCAAGGCGGTGCAGCGGCAGCACAGGCGCGGCAAGCTACTGCCCCGCGAGCGCATCGACCGCCTGCTCGACCCCGCCTTGCCCTTCCTCGAACTCTCCCAGGTCCCCACCTCCCTCCCCCTCGCCCTCTCCCCGCCCTCTCTCCGCACATAGAACCCCATCCCTCCTCTGTCCGCCCGTTCACCTCTCCACCACCATTAGCCTCACTCCCGTATTCTCACCTTCCCGCCTCTGCCATCGCCATCTCCCCATCTGTCCTCCTCAACAACCCCACCTCCCCGCCGCTCTCCCTCCCACCTTTTCCCCCCCTCTCCGCCCATGTCGTTCCAGCTGGCGGGCGTGGGCATGTACGGGGAGGAGGAGGTGCCGGGGGGGGGCATCGTGACGGGGTTAGGGCGCGTGGGCGGGCGGGTGAGTGTGATAGTGGCGAACGACGCTACAGTGAAGGGCGGCACGTACTACCCCATCACCGTGAAGAAGCACCTCAGAGCACAGGAGATCGCTGCTCAGTGCCGCCTGCCCTGCATCTACCTCGTTGACAGGTACAGCCTGCGCTGAGTTTAGGAAATCGTTTTGAGTTCACCCACTCACGCAACTTGCAACATTTATGGTGAAACATTGCTGTAAAACGTTATCGTATATTTCACCAACTAAGGTCCACCATTGCTCTCTTACAGCCACCCTCATCCCACTCATCCCACTCATCCCTGTCACCCCACCCATCCCGTTCACCCCACCTATTCCCAGCGGAGGCGCCAACCTGCCACGGCAGGCGGACGTGTTTCCAGACCGCGACCACTTCGGCCGCATCTTCTTCAACCAGGTCAGCCCCGCCCTCCCTCCCTCCCTCCCTCCCTCCCTCCCTCCCTCCCTCCCTCCCTCCCTCCCTCCCTCATGTACGGCTCACGCTAACTCGTGCCACACAGCGCTTATCATTCACGCGTAGGCTGTAGTCTCTCCTTCTCCCGTCAACCCCATCTCGCCCTGAACATCATCTGCTTTCTTCTCACTCATTCTTCCAACGTCCTCCCGTTCCTCTCCCCAATCATCCCTTGTTCCATCCCCACTCATTTGCCCAACCCCTTCCTTCCCAACCCTCCCCCCTGCTTCCCTCCCCCCCCAGGCGCGCATGTCACGGGACGGCATACCGCAGATCGCGGTGGTGATGGGCAGCTGCACGGCGGGGGGCGCGTACGTGCCGGCCATGGTGGACGAGAGCATTATCGTGCACCGCCAGGGTACCATCTTCCTCGGCGGGCCACCACTCGTCAAGGTGCGCCTGTGCTGTACTTGCTTAGTCTGCCCAACAGCTAACAAAGTATCAACAACAGTGAAGCCAATTTCCAAGAGTCAAAACAATTGTGCATATCCGGTGCAAATACAAGAATGCAGAGTTGTGGTGCATTATGGCAAGCAGGAGAAGCGTGTGTGAGGGTAGTCAGACGGCGAGGTGCTCAAGGAAGACAGCGAGGTGCTCAAGGAAGACAGCGAGGTGCTCAAGGAAGACAGCGAGGTGCTCAAGGAAGACAGCGAGGTGCTCAAGGAAGACAGCGAGGTGCTCAAGGAAGACAGCGAGGTGCTCAAGGAAGACAGCGAGGTGCTCAAGGAAGACAGCGAGGTGCTCAAGGAAGACAGCGAGGTGCTCAAGGAAGACAGCGAGGTGCTCAAGGAAGACAGCGAGGTGCTCAAGGAAGACAGCGAGGTGCTCAAGGAAGACAGCGAGGTGCTCAAGGAAGACAGCGAGGTGCTCAAGGAAGACAGCGAGGTGCTCAATGAAGACGGAAGGTCTGCACCACCCCCACTGGCATCATGAGATTTCCCGGTTGCTGTGTGCTCATATGTGCACATGTGTCTGTCTGTGTGCTTGCGTGCATGTGTGTGTGCACGCCATCTATCGCAGGCGGCGACAGGGGAGGAGGTGACAGCAGAGGCGTTGGGGGGAGGGGCGGTGCACAGCCGGGTGTCGGGCGTGACGGACCACCTGGCGCGCGGTGAGTGACGGACCACCTGGCGCGCGGTAAGTGAGAGGTGCTTGGGCACAGACGAGCATGCCGCGCGGGGAGATGGCGGGCACGTGATCAGGGCAGGCAGGGGTGATGGTAGGGGCGTTGATGGCTGGGGAGGTGGGCGTGTGCATCTGACAGAAAGCTGCACATCACCCGCACATGCCGCCATTTCACATGCACACTCCCATGCCGCACTTCACTCCACAGACCTGTAATTTGGTATCCATCCACCCCCTCCTGCTCCCCTTCCCCGCAGACGAGCTGCACGCCATTGCCATCGCCAGGCGCATTCTCGCCTCGCTGCCCTCCTCACATCCCGCCTCCTCCTCCACCTCACCCGCCCTCCCACCGCTCCCCTCGCCCCTGTCCCGCCGTGCATGGGAGGAGCCGCTCTTCCCAGCGGAGGAGCTGAGGGGGCTGGCGCCCATAGTGGGGGGGGAGGGGCGCAAGGGGGAGGGCGAGGGGGGCGAGGAGGAGGGGGCGGCGGAGGCGAGGGGGGTGGACATGCGGGAGGTGATCGCGCGGCTGGTGGACGGCAGCCAGTTCGATGAGTTCAAGCGCCTCTATGGCTCTGTGGGTGCATGCTCGCTTTGCTCGCACCGTGCTCTTGCATGGCATACCTGTTCAATGTTTGACGAGAAAAAATCAAAGGATGGTTGCATTGCAACTTCAAAAGTTTCTCTTCGACCCGTTTCCCAACCCCTCTCCCCACCCTCCCCTCCGGTCCCTCCCGTTTCCCCTGTGACGGGCGGCAGTCGCTGGTGTGTGGGTTTGCGAGGGTGCAGGGTCAGGAGGTGGGCGTGGTGGCGAACAACGGCGTGCTGGTGGTGGATGCGGCGCTCAAGGGCGCGCACTTCGTGCAGCTCTGTGACCACCGGCGCACCCCGCTGCTCTTCCTGCACAACATTTCCGGCTTCATGGTGAGCCATGAGGGCTTTCATGTCATACCTCATGGCACTATACCCTAGATCACATGGCACACTGAACAGATCATGCTTCGAGTCCGCGTGGCATGTGCCAATGCCTTCATGGCTCTCCTACATGAATCCATTTCCTCCTCTGTGTGTGCAGGTGGGGCGGGCAGCAGAGAGTGCGGGCATAGCCAAGGCAGGGGCCAAGATGGTTATGGCTGTTGCATGTGCTCAGGTACGCCCGTCCCAATGCCATGTGCCACGTATGCTTTTATCGTCTGCATCAGTGTATCCCACACGTGACTAGGAGAGCCGCCTCGGAGCGCCCCCCACATCTGCCCCCCACGCCCCATTGCACCATATGCCTGCCTCCATCCCCCTGCCTCCATCCCATGTACTTTGCTCCCATTTCTCTCCTCTCATCTGCTTCCCTCCATCTGCCCTATACCACCCGCGCCCACCATGCGCAGGTGCCTAAGATATCGCTGGTGGTGGGCGGCAGCTTTGGGGCGGGCAACTACGGCATGTGTGGCCGCGCCTACTCGCCCAACTTCCTCTTCCTCTGGCCCTCCGCGCGCATCTCCGTCATGGGCGGCCAGCAGGTGGGTTTGGGCGGCCAGCAGGTGAGTCTGGGCGGCCAGCAGGTGAGTCTGGGCGGCCAGCAGGTGAGTCTGGGCGGCCAGCAGGTGAGTCTGGGCGGCCAGCAGGTGAGGACGATGGGCAATTTGTGCTGGCATACCATGCAAGGCAAGGGTTTTGTGCTTCGCTGTGACTGGGTCTATCAGCACTTGTTCAATCACTACTTCCCCTGAATGTGTCCCTTCCTTTTTCTGCCATGCCATCATACGGCATGGATGGCACAATGGCAGGCGGCAGGGGTGTTGGCCCAAGTGGAGAAGGACAAGAGAGCACGTGATGGCACTCCGGTCAGTCTGTTTCCATCTTCCCCCCTTGCACATGTCCTCCTGTGCTCCCGTCTGCCCATGAACCCATTCGTCCATCCTCCATTGCCCAACATGAAACCAGTATCATGTTTCATTCACGCTCTGTCCTACTCATGTCTGACTGTCCTGCTGCGCTCTGCCCTCTGCCCTCTCTGCCCCCTGTTCCTCTCTCTTTCCCGGCCTTTCGCCACCGCACACCGCAGTGGGGCGAGGAGGAGGAGCGCGCGTTCAAGCAGGGCATAGCGCAGCGGTACGACAGCGAGGGCTCGGCGTTCTTCTCAACGGCGCGGCTGTGGGACGACGGCATCATCGACCCCGCCCACTCCCGCACCGTGCTCTCCCTCGCCCTCGCCGCCACCCAAGCCGGCATGCCCGCTGCTCACACCCTCACTGATGCTGGCCCCAGATATGGAGTGTTCCGCATGTGATGTGCCCATGGCTGCGCATGGTGGGGTGCTGTGCCACGTGGCTTGCCAGTGACGGGGATGTTTCAGCTGAATGTTTCCAGTTACAGTACGCCTGATTTAGAACCTTCTGTATATTTGTATCTGTGTATATAATGTTTCCCATTGCTGTTATTGTGTCCATCCATACAGGCCGGCCATTCCAGGTGGTATACTATTCTACAAAGGTGCTAAGGCTAAGCATTTCTCAATACACTAGTATACCATTACTAATACACTTGTTGTACTGGTGGTGCTCTCCATAGTGGGGGTGGCTGTATCGTGCCTCATCTCTCTGAATCAGCTTCCCATTGATTACCGTACACTCTGCTCTCACAATACACTTCAACAACACAAACGGGCAACGTGTACATACATACCGTACTCTACAATTCAGTAAAGAACCCTTCAACCACCCCGCAGTTAATAAACGTATATTGGAATGCACAACGGCCTCAACCACGACGCACTCAACAGTGGGGCATATTTACCTGCCCTACCTCTGCCCACCTTGCTTCCTTTCACGTGACCTTGTCTCAGTCAGTCATCAGTAAAACACTCTGGTTTCTATTCTGTGCATTTCCTTGCCTACCTTACCACCTCACATCCACCTCTCAGCTCCCTGCTGCCTCCAATCTTCCTTTCCACCACCACCAGAGCCGGCAGCAGGCACATCAGCCAAGGCCAACTCTTTCAGCCGCCTCTCACTCTCACCTCATCTTCCTCTCCCTCTGCTCCACAGCAGTACTCAGGCCGACAGCATTCGCCACGTGCAAGCAGATTCCAGGAAAAGACTCGCCCCTCCTAAGCTACCCCCATCCCTCTCCGTCCCCCTTACCCCTTCCAGCTATTCCCCCTGACGTTACACCAAGGTCATTGCCTCCACGTGGCTCTCCTTGCCTCAGCAGCACCCGGGCTGGGGGCACCCCGCAGGCAGGGGCAGGCGCAGGTTACCAGAGGTGCGGAAGGTGCGAGGAACCATCCTGTCGACGTAGATGAGCCCTGCGAGGTGGTCACACTCGTGCTGGTGGCGGTGCAGCGCAGCCACCGCGGGTACAGGGGGGTGGAGTGGAGACAATGTGACGGCATGTGGATGTTGGGACGTGAGGGGAGGAATTTGATGAGGGCAATGGGACGTGACTTTGATAGTGTGGAAGAAGAAGAGAGAGGGGAAACGAGTAGAGCATACGAATGAGCATCGCAGTGGAGAGAAGTTTGAGAGAGAGGGGGAGCGAAGTGAGAGCATGAGAGAGCAATCCTTGCAAACAAGGTCCTCCACACAGCGCCTTCCAACAGTCAACATCAGCCTGTCCGCCTCCATCACACTTCCGCAGCATTCCTGCCCTCACCACAGCAGCAGCCACCGCACTGCACTGACCTGCAGGATCCTGGCCTGCCAGCCCGTGGCATGCACTGTGATGGGCTTGCCGTCCCGCGCCAGCCCTGACACCTCCACCTCTCTGTACCGCTCCACCATGCCCCGGTACCCATTCACACTGCCACACACCAAGGGGGGAATGCACGCGCAGAGGTAGGGGGCGTGGGGAGACGAGTGAGACTTGACTTGGTGATGGCATTGAGGCGCCCATGTCGCCCGTGTCATGGCATTGCGGGCGCGAGGGAGGGGGGTGGCGAGGGAGCGAGGGAGGGTGGGGCGAGGGAACGTGGGAGCGTGGGAGCGAAGGAGGGGGGGAGGGAGCAAGGGCGGGGGCGAGGGAGCGAGGGAGGGTGGGAGGGAGCGAGAGAGGGGGGGAGGGAGAGAATAAGGGTGGGGCGAGGGAGCGTGGGAGCGAGGGAGGGGGGGAGGGAGCAAGGGAGGGAGGGAGCGAGGGAGGGAGCGAGGGAGGGAGCGAGGGAGTAAGGGATGGAGGGAGCGAGGGAGGGAGGGAGGGAGGGAGGGAGGGAGGGAGGGAGGGAGGGAGGGAGGGCAGGAGGGAGGGAGGGGGGGAGGGAGGGAGGGAGCGGGAAGGGCACCTGAGGCAGCCTTCGAAGAAGCGAGCCTTGGTGTCGCCCACGGGCTTGAGCACGGGGTTGATTATCACCTGCCATTGGCGCGCAGTGCCAGTGCAGCAGCAAGTGGAGGACATATGGTTGGGAGAGTAAGGGCGTGGAACATTTTAACGAACATGCCAAATGGTCGGATAGATGGTTGTTTCTGGCGATGGCGAAGGAATTTAAGGAAACCCCATTGACTCGCATGTGTAATATTCACCCTGACTTGACCGAAATTCACTTGTATTCTCGTAAGTAATTTAGAGCCTCTACTCACACTATCGATTAAAAAGAGGATATTGTTTGGCTTCCAGTAATTACCCCCGATTGTGGTTGGCTTATACTCTACTCGTTTCCCGCTCCCACACCCCTTTCGAATGCTTAACCTGGGAACAAATGTTTCTGCTTAGTGGGGGGTGGTTTTTACTAGGTGTCCCACATGCTGGCGAGCAGAATAGCTAAGATAATTTCGCACCCTTCGCATCACTGTTACATCCTTCGCTTTCGCCAGATCCAACCATATGGTCGACAAATCGGCGTGGTCATAAAAATGTTCCACGCCCTAATGCCATGGTGGCAAGAAGAGTGGCCCGTTCGTTTTATTATATCTTCCTTCAATGCCCTCTCGTTGAGTCCCTTAAAAGTGAAGCATCAAATATCTCATGCGAAGGCAGTCGGCCGTTCGTTCATTCCATTCTCCGTCCTGTTTATTCAACCCGCCATTCTGTTTATTCACTGACTCAATGCCCACTCACTCGCTCATCCAGTCACCCGTTCACCCGTGGACTCCGCGCATACCAGCAGGTTGAAGGGTTGGCGCTCCTGCTGCTTCACTTCCTCAGGGTCGCACGCCTTCATCAGCTCCACCGTGTCCTCCAGAACTATTATCTGCGCTTGCATACGCACACACTCACACGCGGTCAGCGCACAGAGCAGCGGGAAAAAAACGGGCTGTGGGCGGTGGGAGGAGACGCGAGTTCGGACGCGCCCACCAATAGCCCAGGTGGCTTCAATGTTCTTTAGGAATGCCGTACCCCACTGCCATAGCTGACGGCTATACCTACACTGCCCGTACCTGCAGTGCCCAAACCTACACTGCCCATACCTGCAGTGCCCGTATCTGCAGTGCCCGTACCTGCAGTGCCCGTACCTGCAGTGCCCGTACCTGCAGTGCCCGTACCTGCAGTGGGTGGCCGATTTGGTTGGCTGCGAGGCCGACACCTGGCGCAGCGCGCATGACTGCCACCATGTCGTTAATGATCTTCTCTATCTCCGGACTGCCAATGTCCTGATGCCACGAGGCACGGAGGTGGATTAGCGAACGGGTTGGAAAGAGGGAGAAGACGGGAAAGAGCAGAGAGTGCACGGTTAACGGGCAGCGGAAATCGTGAATATGAAGCAGGTGGTGTATCGACCTCCACGCTCTGTAAACTTCGGCATTGTCACGCTCGATGCTGTGACGGCTATTCATATTATGAACGTGCTTGTCCACGGCTGCCCGTTATATTGGAAATGATGATGCCACACTGTAACAGGCTGCCACGACGACGCGCATCTACGAGGCGCGCACGCAGTGGGCACTTAAGGCTCATGAGTTCAGACACTCACCCCCCACGCACTCGCCCGCATCATTCATCCACAAGGGCACCCCGCACCACTCACTCACGGCGAGGGGCACTCATGGCGAGCGGCACTCACGGCGAGCGGCACTCACGGTGGCGGGCACGGGGCGCGCGGGCTCGTGCAGCACGGGGTCGCCCGCCTCCACCACGTCGGGCAGCGCCGGCTTGCCGAAGTTGAAGAACGCGCGCGCCGCCACGCCTTGGGAGTCTCCCAGCGACTCGCCGCGCGACGGCGGCGTGCCGGCTATGCGCGAGGTGGGCGTGGAGGAGAACTGCGACACGTCGCGCAGGTGCGGCGCGAAGTCCATCTTCTCCGTCGATGACACCCGCACCATGCGCGCCGCGCCGCTCGCTGGCGGGCAGCTGATTGGCTGCGATGCTGTCGTCATGACGACGCGATGTCGGAGAACACTTGTTCGGCTTCGCACCAGCTGCTGTAGAGGAGAATGTCCTAAAGGTAATGTGCGATGAAATGGCGACGCTGAGAGGCAATTCGATGCTAGGGAGCGAGAGCACGCGTTCATTTCAAGAAGCAGAATAGCACAAACTAGAATGTGTAGCGAGGCGGCTCACTGAATCAACTGGCAGCAAGGTGTTGAGCAAGCGGAAGCCGCAGCAGGCAAAAAGGAGAAACAGAATTGCGATGGTCTCACGAGAGGAATCTGGATTCTAGATGCACCACCCAAACCAATGCCAGGCCGTGGTTGGAAATCCGTGACTCGTGAATTACCCGACCTTGATCCATTTGCTGCCTCACACGCCATGCCATCTGAGCTGGAGTGGGGACCACTAGCGAAGGCAGTCTCGATTCGCTGATGACGTGGTGGGGGAATCTTTCCCCTGCGCTGCCACTATGTGCGCGACGCATCCAATTGGAGAACACGAAGTGGATCGCACTTCTGTTTGCCTTGCTGATTTGGCAGGTTTGTCCTTGTCACTGTCAGACGTCGTAGCTTTACTCTTGGAATGGCAGTGATTATCTTGAGGTGCGCCTGTAACTCAGTGGATAGAGTGCTCATTTCCTACGCGAGAGGTCCAAGGTGCGACCCTTTGCTGGCGCGTAATTTTCATTGAAATAGAGTGTTTTGATATGTCACATCACAATACCACCTTTCATACAACTTGTAAACACGTCATGATAAGGCCGCCATGGATTCTGTCAGGCGCTTCTAGCAGGTCAATGCCCCACCTACCTAGCTCAGTTCTTGACATTGACTACACCGTTAGATGCAGCTTGGCTTCCTCTATAAGCGGACATAAAGACTGTACCCATCAGGCGGGTATCTTTCACGCTTATTGAGTTCCAGGCATCGGGTCATTGTCATCCCAAGGTCGCGTCAGCTCGTTGATAACTGGTGTTCCACGTAGGCC